TTGTGTACATCTGTAAAGACACATTTCAAGAAATGGAATTTCTGGACCAAAGAATATGAGCTTTCTTACTATGATAAACACTGCTATATTGCCTATTAAGGAAACACATCAGATATCATCATAATTGATACAATTGAACGTTGAAGTTCTCAGAATTCTATGTGTACTACATTGGCCATTCCCTTATGGAAACTGAGTATTCATGTAATATCTAATAGTTTCTAAGTTGTCAAGTTTTCCTGAGCCATTCATAGTCATGCGGAAGACTCTTTCACTTTGCTGTCATTCAAATTTCCTAAAAAGGATATTTATTAAAAAAATTTTTAAATCTACAGGTTACATTTTAAAAACCCACTCCTCAACTTTTTAATATCTAAGGAATTAAAACCAAGCCTTTCTGTTAAAAGTCTAAGATGTTTTAATATGTTAATCTTATATTTTAGAAAATATGATACTGAAGTTTAAAAAATTTTTTTCTCTTGAGTTATTTTTAGGCATAGTGACAATCAATATTATGTTTACTACTTGAGTATAGTGTTTTCTAAAGCAGTTACTTGCTGTATTTTTTAGAGCACATAATACGTTGTTGTTTGCTGTTCAGTCGCTCAGTCATGTCCAACTCTTTGTGACCCCATGGACTGCACCACACCAGGTTTCCCTGTCCTTCACCACCGCCCAGAGTTTGCTCACACTCGTGTCCATTGAGTTGGTGATGTCATTCAACCATCTCATCCTCTGTCATCCCCTTTTCCTTCTGCCTTAAGTCTTTCCCAGCATCAGGGTCTTTTCCAATGAGTTGGCCCATCACATCAGGTGGCAAGAGTCTTGGAGCTTCAGCATCAGTCCTTCCAGTAATTTTTAATTCAGGGTTGATTTCCTTTAGGATGGACTGGTTTGATCTCCTTCCTGTCCAAGGGGTTCTCAAGAGTCTTCTCCAACACCACAGTTCAAAGGCATCAATTCTTCCGTGCTCAGCCTTCTTTATGGTCCAACTCTCACATCAGTACATGACTACTGGGAAAACCATAGCTTTGACTATACAGACCTTTGTCAGCAAAGTAATGTCTCTGCTTTTTAATATACTGACTAGGTTTGTCACAGCCTTTCTTCCAAGGAGCAAGCATCTTTTAATTTCACGGCTGCAGTCACCATCCACATTGATTCTGGAGCCCAAGAAAATAGTCTGTCAGTGTTTCCATTGTTTCCCCATCTATCTGCCATGAAGTGATAAGACCAGATGCCATGATCTTAGTTTTTTGAATGTTGAGTTTTAAGCCAACTTTTTCACTGTCTTTCACTTTCATCAAGAGGCTCTTTAGTTCCTCTTCGCTTTCTGCCATAAGGGTGGTGTCATCTGCATATCTGAGGTCATTGATATTTCTCCCCACAATCTTGATTCCAGCTTGTGCTTCAGACAGCCTGGCATTTCATATGATGTACTCCGCATATGAGTTAAATAAACAGGATGATAATATACAGTCTTGATATACTCCGTTCCCAATTTGGAACCAGTCTGTTGTTCCATGTCAGGTTCCTACTGTTGCTTCCTGACCTGCATACAGGTTTCTCAGGAGGCAGGTAAGGTGGTCTGGTATTCCCATCTCTTTAAGAATTTCCCACAGTTTGTTGTGATCCACACAGTCAAAGGCTTTGCAATAGTCAATAAAGCAGAAGCAGATGTTTTTCTGGAACTCTCTTGCTTTTTTTTTATGACCCAACAGATGTTGGCAATTTGATCTCTGGTTCCTCTGCCTTTTCTAAATCTGACTTGTACATCTGAAAACTCTCGGTTCATGTACTGTTGAGGCCTAGCTTGGAGGATTTTGAGCATGACCTTGCTAGCATGTGAAACGAGTGCAACTGTGTGGTAGTTTGAACATTTTTTGGCATTGCGTTTCTTTGGGATTGGAATGAAAACAGCTTTTCCAGTCCTGTGGCCACTGCTGAGTTTTCCAAATTTGCTGGCATATTGAGTGCAGCATTTTCACAGCATCATCATTTAGGACTTGAAATAGCTCAGCTGGAATTCCATCACTAGCTTTGTTCATAGTGATGCTTCCTAAGGCCCACTTGACTTTGCACTCCAGGATGTCTGGCTCTAGGTGAGTGATCACACCATCATGGTTATCTGGGTCATTAAGATATTTTTTGTATAGTTCTTCTGTGTATTCTTACCACCACTTCTTAATATCTTCTGCTTCTGTTAGGTCAATACCATTTCTGTCCGCTATTGTGTCCATCTTCGCATGAAATATTCCCTTGGTTATCTCTGATTTTCTTGAAGAGATCTCTAGTCTTTCCCATTTTATTGTTTTCCTCTATTTCTTTGCATTGATCACTTAGGAAGGCTTTCTTATCTCTCCTTTTTCTTTGGAACTCTGTATTCAGATGGGTATATCTTTCCTTTTCTCCTTTGCCTTTCGCTTCTCTTCCTTTCTCAGCTATTTGTAAGGTCTCCTCAGACAAACATTTTGCCTTTTTAGCATTTCTTTTTCCTGGGGATGGTTTTGATCACCACCTCCTGTACAATGTTTTGAACCTCCGTCCGTAGTTCTTAAGGCATTCTGTCGATCAGATCTAATCCCTTGAATCTATTTGGCACTTTCACTGTATAATCATAAGGGATTTGATTTAGGTCACACTTGAATGGCTTAGTGGTTTTCCCTACTTTCTTCAATTAAGTCTGCACTTTGCAATAAGGAGTTCATGATCTGAGCCACAGTAAGCTCCCAGTCTTGTTTTTGCTGACTATATAGAGCTTCTTCATTTTCAACTGTAAAGAATATCATCAGTCTGATATTGGTATTGACCATCTGGTGATGTCCATGTGTAGAGTTGTTTCCTGTGTTGTTGCAAGAAGATGTTTGCTATGACCAATGTGTTCTCTTGTCAAAACCCTGTTAGCCTTTGCCCTGCTTCATTTTGTACTCCAAGGCCAAACTTGCCTTACTCCAGGTATCTCTTGACTTCCTACTTTTGCATTCCAGTCTGCTATGATGAAAAAGACATTTTTTTTTTTTTTTGGTGTTAGTTCTAGGAGTTCTTATAGAACATTCAAGAAGGTTGAGTGGTCTTCATAGAACTGTTCAACTTCAGCTTCTTTGGCATTAGTGGTTGGGCATAGACTTTGATTACTATATCAAATGGTTTGCCTTTGGAATGAACCAAGATAATTCTTTCATCTTGAGATTGCAGAGACATTACTTTGCCAACAAAGGTCTGTCTAGTCAAAGCTATGGTTTTTCCAGTAGTAGTATGGATATGAGAGTTGGACTCTAAAGAAAGCTGAGCACTGAAGAATTGATGCTTTTGAACTGTGGTGTTGGAGAAGACTCTTGAGAGTCCCTTGGACTGCAAGGAGATCCAACCAGTCCATCCTAAAGGAAATCAGTCCTGAATATTCATTGGAAAGACTGATGCTGAAGCTGAAACTCCAATACTTTGGCCACCAGATTCGAAGAGCTGACTCATTTGAAAAGACCCTGATGCTGGGAAAGATGGCTGGATGGCATCACCGACTCAATGGACATGAGTTTGAGTCAACTCTGGGAGCTGGTGATGGACAGGGAGGCCTGGCGTGCTGCAGTTCATGGGGTCACAAAGAGTCGGACATGACTGAGTGACTAAACTGCATTTTGGACTCTTTTGTTGACTACGAGGGCTACTCCATCTCTTCTATGGAATTCTTGCCCACAGTAGTAGATATAATGGTCATCCGAATTAAACTGGCCCATTCCTGTCCATTTTAGTTCACTGATTCCTAAAATGTCAGTGTTCACTCTTGCCATCTCCTTATATTACATCTCATAACATTGTGAGATCTACATATAATGAATTTTAAACTGACATTTGTAATTAGCAATGTTGTAGTTTAATGGAACAACATTTCCTAACTGTATTTATTTTCTACCCAGGAAGCGTCAAGACAATCATGCCCATGAGAACTCTAAACCATTCAGGTAAACATTATACTTTTTTAACTTTCCCCAAAATATGTTTTGTCATCCATATTATGAAGATTTTATAACTATTTTATTTAGATGCACTTTTCTGCCTTTTCCAAAGCTCTTGCAGCCAGCCTTAGTCTAATCAATGTTTTTAAGCTATAAAATATACTTATATTTTATGTTAACATTATATATAATACATGTAACATTTTATGTTAACATCATATCATATTATATATTTGTAAATTATATCATATTATAATTTAACATATCTAAATAGAGAAATATGTAGTACACTTAGCATGTAAGTCATAAAACTTGGTTAGAAATAGCTCTAAGTTTATTTTCATGAAGACTTTTAAAAATGTTATGATTTTATAAATAATATATATCAAAAGTTTTCCTTTAAATGCTCTTATTTTATCAAGATTAAGGGGGTTTAAAAGGGTGACCAAAAGTTAAGAGATTTATGCTTATGACAATATGAAATTTGCAATCAATAACCTTTAATTGTGGAATTAGTGTAACAGATATAAAAAGGATTTCTTGGAATAAACATATTTTCACTTTATCCAATTTCAGGCTGTATATTTAGGGTTGGTTTTAGTTTCTTACTTGATAACTGTTATTGACAATCTCTTTGTGTTTTGTTCTATTTTCTTTCAGACCATTTTGTCTTAGTGAAACTGACAGTTGAACTTTGCTCTAGTTGATGGGCAAAATTTCTCCTAGACTACTCATCATCCCAATTTCATCCTAGTTGAAAATATTCAAATGCCATAAGAAATCTTTATAGATTTGCACTTAGCTTTTGGATGGACATTTCTACAATGGAGAGAACTGTGTTATAGCCCCGGTCCAAGGACATTACCATCAAATGCCCACAGACTACGGGGTAGGTGTGGAAGGTTCCAAAGAGAAGGAGAACTCAGCAAGTTTGCAGACACCCTGGAACATGGAAGCAAGCAAGCTTTGAAAGGCACAGCTTTGAAGGCACTCCATGAGTCTGCACGGCTTTCAAGCAAACTAGCACTTGAGACCTTGTGTGACAAAATGGACACTGGGGACACAGCTCTAGGACAAAAAGCTACCTCAAGGTCTGGAGAAACTGATAAAGCATCAGGTAGATGGAGACAGGAACAATCAGCTGTTATTAAGATGAGCACTTTTGGCAGTCAAGAAGGACAGCGGCAACCACAAATTGATCCTGAGCGTATCGGAAACACAGCATCAGCACAACTCTTTGGTTCTGGGAAACTGGCCTCACCTAGCGAAGTGGTCCAGCAAGTCACAGAGAAGCAATACCCACCACACCGTCCAAGTCCTTATTCATGCCAACATTCACTGTCTTTCCCTCAGCACTCATTGCCACAGGGGGTCATGCACAGCAACAAGCCACACCAGAGCCTTGAAGGCCCTCCGTGGCTTTTCCCTGGCCCTTTGCCATCTGTTGCCTCTGAGGACCTATTTTCCTTTCCTATACACGGCCACAGTGGTGGTTATCCTAGAAAAAAGATTTCAAGTCTGAACCCTGCTTATAGCCAATACTCCCAGAAAAGTATCGAACAGTCCGAAGATGCTCACAAAAAAGAGCACAAACCCAAAAAGCCCGGCAAGTACATTTGCCCTTACTGCAGCAGGGCGTGTGCCAAACCCAGCGTACTGAAAAAACACATCAGGTCCCATACCGGTGAGCGGCCATATCCGTGTATACCTTGTGGCTTCTCTTTCAAGACGAAGAGCAATTTGTACAAGCACAGGAAGTCACATGCCCATGCAATTAAGGCAGGATTAGTCCCTTTCACAGAGTCAGCGGTATCAAAATTGGATCTAGAGGCCGGTTTTATTGATGTAGAAGCAGAAATACATTCGGACGGTGAACAGAGTACAGACACAGATGAGGAGAGTTCTTTGTTTGTTGAGGCTTCTGACAAGATGAGTCCTGGCCCACCCATTCCACTGGAAATGGCCACCAGAGGTGGCTATCATGGGTCATTGGAAGAATCGCTGGGAGGCCCAATGAAGGTGCCGATTTTGATTATCCCCAAAAGCGGAATTCCTTTAACTAATGAAAGCTCCCAGTATATTGGCTCTGATATGTTACCAAATCCGTCTTTAAGTACTAAGGCTGATGACTCTCACACAGTTAAACAGAAACTTGCACTAAGACTGTCAGAGAAAAAAGGACAAGATTCTGAGCCATCTCTGAACCTTCTGAGCCCGCACAGTAAAGGAAGCACCGACTCTGGTTACTTTTCCCGCTCAGAAAGTGCAGAGCAGCAGATCAGCCCTCCAAACACAAATGCGAAGTCTTACGAAGAAATTATCTTTGGAAAATACTGTCGGCTTAGTCCAAGAAATACACTCAGTGTTACAACCACAAGTCAGGAGCGCGCCACGATGGGTAGGAAGGGCACCATGGACTCATTACCTCATGTCAACACCAGGTTAGATGTCAAGATGTTTGAAGATCCTGTTTCCCAGCTGATCCCAAGCAAGGCGGAAATTGATCCCAGTCAGACAGGCATGCTAAAATCCACCAAATTCAACAGTGAGTCAAGACAATCCCAAACGATTCCATCATCTATCAGGAATGAAGGAAAACTTTATCCAGCCAATTTCCAAGGCAGCAGCCCAGTTCTACTCGAAGCGCCAGTTGACTCTTCACCCCTTATTCGAAGCAACTCAATGCCAACTTCTTCAGCAACTAACTTAAGTCTTCCTCCTTCTTTGAGAGGAAGTCACTCATTTGATGAACGGATGACTGGCTCCGATGATGTGTTCTACCCAGGAACGGTAGGCATACCACCTCAGCGCATGTTAAGGAGACAAGCGGCTTTTGAGCTGCCTTCAGTCCAGGAGGGGCACCTGGAGGGAGATCACCACGGCAGGGTGTCCAAAAGCATCACAGGTCCATCCTTGAAGGAAAAGAAATTGATTCCTGGGGACAGGGTCGGCTATGACTATGACGTCTGCCGCAAACCCTATAAGAAGTGGGAGGACTCTGAGACGACGAAGCAAAGCTACAGGGATGTTTCCTGCATCAGCCCCTTGAAACATGGCGGGGACTATTTCATGGATCCCTCGGCGCCATCCCAGGGCGTGCCAACCATGTTTGGAACCACGTGTGAAACTCGAAAACGCCGGAAAGAAAAGAGCGTGGGGGACGAGGAGGACACCCCCATGATCTGCAGCAGCACGCCCTTGGGCATCGCGACTGCAGATTACGAGACCAAGCTGCAGATGCAGGAAGGTGCGAGGAGTGGGTTCGGCCTGGCTGGACAGGAAAACCCTTCTCATGGGCACTCTGAGCGGTTTGACCTGTGTCGACCCCCGCTGCAATCTGGGAGTCCCTCTCTTGGGTCGGAGGAGTCACCCTTGGCGGCTGATCAGGACAAGCAATCGGACGGAGCGGGCAGGAAGCCTCCCGGAAATGTGATCTCTGTGATTCAGCACACCAACTCGCTGAGCCGCCCCAATTCCTTCGAGCGGTCCGAGTCCGCTGAACTCGCGGCCAGCGCCCAGGAGAAAGCCTCGTCACCCTCCGAGACGTGTGACAGTGAGATCTCCGAAGCTCCGGTGAGCCCGGAGTGGGCCCCGCCCGGGGAGGGCGCAGACGGCGGGGGGAAGCCGTCCCCGGCGCCGCAAGCCCCGCCGCCGCCGCCGCCCTACCACGCGCCTCCCCGGCTGGTGCGCCAGCACAACATCCAGGTGCCGGAGATCCGCGTGACCGAGGAGCCGGACAAGCCGGAGAAGGAGAAGGAAACGCAGAGCAAAGAGCCGGAAAAGCCAGTGGAGGAGTTCCAGTGGCCCCAGAGAAGCGAGACCCTCTCCCAGCTCCCGGCCGAGAAGCTGCCGCCCAAGAAGAAGCGTCTGCGACTCGCAGACATGGAGCACTCCTCCGGGGAATCCAGCTTCGAGTCCACGGGCACCGGCCTCTCCCGCAGCCCCAGTCAAGAGAGTAACCTGTCCCACAGCTCCAGTTTCTCCATGTCTTTCGACCGAGAGGAGACCATGAAGCTTGCGGCGCCTCCCAAGCCGGATGAGTTCGGGAAGCATTCGGAGTTCTTGACCGTCCCCGCCGGTTCCTACTCACTGTCTGTCCCCGGCCACCACCACCACCAAAAGGAGATGCGACGCTGCTCATCTGAGCAGATGCCTTGTCCTCACCCCACGGAGGTCCCAGAAATTCGGAGCAAGTCCTTTGATTATGGGAACCTGTCCCATGCGCCCGCAGCCGGGGCGTCGGCCGCCTCTGCGCTGTCTCCATCCCGGGAGAGGAAGAAGTGCTTTCTGGTGCGCCAGGCGTCCTTCAGTGGCTCTCCCGAGATCGCCCAGGGGGAGGCCGGCGCGGATCTGGGTGTCAAGCAAGAGCAGCTGGAGCATCTGCACGCCAGCCTCAGGTCCACGTGGCCCCACGCCGCGTGCGCCGTCCTCCCTCCCCTCCCCGCCGAGGACCCAGGGAAGCAGGTCATGGGTCCCTGCCCCCAGCTGAGCTCAGGCCCCCTCCACCTGGCCCAGCAGCAGATCCTGCACCTGGACGGTCAGGAATCTCTGAGAAATCCCTTGATACAACCGACATCCTATATTGCAAGCAAGCACTTGTCCGAACAGCCACATTTGTTTCCCCATCAGGAGGCTCTCCCGTTTTCTCCAATCCAGAGCGCTTTGTTTCAGTTCCAATATCCTACCGTCTGTATGGTTCACTTACCAGGCCAGCAGCCCCCCTGGTGGCAGGCGCACTTCCCCCATCCCCTTGCTCAGCACGCTCCGAAGAGCTATGGCAAGCCTTCTTTCCAGGCAGAAGTTCACCCCAGCTACCCCTTGGAGCCCTTGGCCGAACACACTGGAAAGAAATCCGCTGATTACACGCACACGAAAGATCAAACCTACCCGGGCTATTCAGGAACATCAGGGCTACCCTCAAAGAACCTCCTTCCAAAGTTTCCCTCCGGGGAGAGCACCAAGTCAGCGGATACTCCCTCTGAGCAGGTTCTTCAGGAAGATTTTGCCTCAGCGAGCGCTGGGCCCTTGCAGTCCTTACCGGGAACAGTGGTTCCTGTTAGGATCCAGACGCACGTCCCATCCTATGGGAGTGTCATGTACACAAGCATTTCTCAGATGCTTGGGCAGAACAGTCCTGCCATTGTCATATGCAAAGTCGACGAGAATGTGACCCAAAGAACCCTGGTAACCAACGCGGCCATGCAAGGAATAGGATTTAACATTGCCCAGGTGTTGGGGCAGCATGCAGGCTTGGAAAAATACCCCATCTGGAAAGTACCTCAGACCTTACCCCTTGGCTTGGAGTCCTCAATCCCCTTGTGTTTACCTTCCACCTCTGACAGCGTGGCCACCCTGGGAGGCAGCAAACGCATGCTTTCTCCGGCCAGCAGCTTAGAACTCTTCATGGAGACGAAACAGCAGAAGAGGGTCAAGGAAGAAAAGATGTACGGACAGATCGTAGAGGAGCTCAGTGCCGTGGAGCTGACCAACTCAGACATCAAGAAGGGTTTCTCCCGCCCCCAGAAGCCCCAGCTGGTTCGACAGGGCTGTGCTTCGGAGCCAAAGGATGGCTTGGCGTCAGGGTCATCTTCCTTCTCCTCGCTGTCCCCCTCCTCATCTCAAGACTATCCCTCTTCCAGCGTGCCCTCAAGGGAGCCTGGCTCCCGAGCATCCCCCCTGGGGCAGAAGTCGTCCAGTGGGCCCTCGGAAAGCAGAGAGTCCTCAGATGAGTTGGACATTGACGAGACAGCCTCTGATATGAGCATGAGCCCTCAGACCTCCTCCTTGCCACCTGGGGACAGTCAGCTCGAAGAGCAAGGCAAGAGCCAGAAACTACCTGCTGGTGTGCTGGGCCCCAGGGCCTCGGGCCCCGGTGGGAAAGTGGCGAATTCAACTCTTCTTTTCACGGACGTGGTAGATTTCCAGCAGATTCTTCAGTTCCCCAGTCTGCGGACAACAACGACTGTGAGTTGGTGCTTCCTAAATTATACAAAACCCAATTATGTGCAGCAGGCCACCTTCAAATCCTCCGTTTATGCTTCATGGTGCATTAGTTCCTGTAACCCGAACCCATCCGGATTGAACACCAAGACCACGCTGGCTCTTCTGAGATCCAAGCAAAAAATCACTGCAGAAATTTATACTCTGGCTGCTATGCACCGGCCTGGAACCGGCAAACTGACATCGTCAAGTGCTTGGAAGCAGTTTGCTCAGGTAACAAACTTTGTTTCTGAAAGCCTTCTGTGTTGTGGATTTGATTGCTGAGCAGAATAACGTAGTAAAGAATGTACAAACGAAAAGATAAAAGTAAAGTGAAGGCCAAGGTAGGCGGAATCCTCTGTAGACAGGCCTTAACCACTGACCGTGAACTTGGTTATAAGGATCTTAGGACTGTCCCAGGCACAAAGTATCTCCCTGGCCAGGTGCTGAGAAATCGCACCACAAGGACTAATTCCTTAGAGTTCCTCCCGCTTTCCGAATGACCTGGATTAGTGACCTAGGAAATCGACTTTTTGTTGATGTGAGGAATTCAGGAAATTGTGAAATGAGGACATAGAACATGGAGTGAGCACTAGAGAGGAAAGATCGGGAAGGTGTCAATTACAAATTGGTGTTTGCCAAGGGTATTTATCATCTGCCTCTGCAGAGATTGCATCTGAATCCTGTGCTTCTGTAGCTGTTGACCTTCCACATGCCCTGAAGGGTATTCAGGGTAGAGAGTGAGGCACTCTGTACTCCAGGGAAACTGGTGGAACAGGTCTTTAGATAGATATTTTCAGGAACTGAGTCCATGATTCCAATCCTTGTTGTTGTTGAGTCACTCAGTCGTGTCCAACTCTCTGCAACCCCATGGACTGCAGCACACCAGGCTTCCCTGACCTTCACTACCCACTGGAGTCTGCTCAAACTCTTGTCCATTGAGTCAATGATGCTATCCAACTGTCTTATCCTCTGTCACCCCGTTCTCCTCCGACCTTCAGTCTTTCCTGGCATCAGGTCTTTCCCAAAGAGTAGCTTCCAATCCTTGCATCTCCTCTTAAGAAAAGTGCTAAATCCCTTCATGGTGACATCAGCTCCTTGTGACTGGCAGAAAACCTTTTGTAAGAAGAGTGCTTGATGGCATTGAACTCCCCCTTCACCAAAATCTTATATATTGACCTTCCCCCACTACCACTTGGGCTTCCCTGGTGTCTCAGAGGGTAAAGAATCCTCCTGCAATGCAGGAGACCTGGGTTTGATCCCTGGGCCAGGAAGATCCCCTGGAGAAGGGAATGGCAACCCACTCCTGTATTCTTGCCTGGAGAATCCCACGGACAAAGGAGCCTGGCAGGCTATAGTCCATGGGGTCGCAAAGAGGTGGACATGACTGAGGAACTCATACACACATACACTAACTCTTTGGAGCAGTTTCTCAGGGCTATCTAAAGTGCTATCTCCTGGGTTGCAGTCCTCATTTTGCCCCAAATAAAACTCAACTTACAACTCTCACATTATGCATCTTTTTTTCAGTCGACAAAGGAGACTGCAGGATGTCAGAACTGAACTCTGCAAACTTCTGAGGGAGGGGTTTTTCCCATTGACTATACTTTTTACTAAAATTTATTTTATATTTATAATACATATTATTTCTCTCAACTCATTTTTCCAGGATTAGTGGATTTGCTTCTGCATGAACAATTATTGCCTTACATGTAAAATTATAAAAATATTAATAAGGGCCATTTTGGAATTTAAGCTAATAAAAAAGTAAATGGAGAATTTATGAATATAATATATATAAAATATATGGTATATTTCAGTTACCATTTCCCTTTAATAACTTTTGAGAATATTTTGGAAATGCATAGAGATTGTTTGAATTGCTGTTTCCAAAATAGCACTTGTTTTTAACGTTTTTATTAGCGTTGCATGGTATATGTGCTAATGGGGTCTTGTTTTTAAAAGAATGTTGAATTTATTCTGTGGAAACTGTCATTCTTTTCTGATTTTATCCCCGTTGTCCCTTCTTTTATGTAGCCACCCTATGGCCTTTTAGTGTGGAATTTAGGCTAATTTTCAGAGACCATGAAAGAGTGGAATATGTGGGCTTCCTCTGTGTTTTAGGGAATGCATACAAAATGATCCTCTCTTTTTTCCTGCAGATGAAACCTGATGCGTCCTTTTTATTTGGCAGCAAACTAGAAAGGAAACTAGTGGGAAGTATCTTAAAGGAAAGAGGGAAAGGAGATATTCATGGAGATAAGGATATTGGATCCAAGCAAACTGAGCCTATTCGAATTAAAATCTTTGAAGGAGGGTAAGGAAACATAAGTGCAAATGTCAACTATTCTGTTAGACATCAGAGTAAATGGTCCTGAGTGTCTTTCCCTGGTGGCTCAGACGGTAAAGCGTCTATGCCTACAATGCGGGAGACCCGGGTTCGATCCCTGGGTCAGGAAGATCCTCTGGAGAAGGAAATGGCAACCCACTCCAGTACTCTTGCCTGGAAAATCCCATGGACGGAGAAGCATGGCAGGCTGCAAGTCCATGGGGTCCCGGAGAGTCGGACATGACTGAGCGACTTCACTTACTCACTCATCTGTGTGGAAAAATGTCGTATCTCCTCTGGTCCGAAGCATAAAGCAAATTCTTTTTCTATACACATTTCTGAAGTCTGCTTGGTAATAGATAATGAGTTCATGCCCATGCTTTCATGGCTTGCTTTTAATAAAAATGTCTTAATGTATATGGTTTGAACTTCTGCCTTAAATTTTCATACCTCTAATTTAAATTGCTGGACTTTTGATGTCATCTAAGTTTGTTCATTCTTTCGTATTATTTTTACAACCACTTGTGTTACTAATGGACATGTTTTTATTTTGTGCTTACAAAAATGCAGTCTTGCACACTCATGTATGTACGTGGAAACTAGTTGGTTTTATTGCTTTTATTATTACCTGAACTCCAGACGTACGGGATTTTACCAGTTCCTGCCCTACCCTCTTTTTGTTCCAGGACCCAAGCCAGAGCACCATCTTGCATTTAGTTGTCATGTTTCCCCAGCCTCCTCTGATCTGTGATAGTTTCTCTGTCTTTAGAAGTTTCTTTTAAGAATTCTGAGTTGCAGAAACTCAAATGATAAGGTTCAGTGACTTTGTTATCTATCTAGTTAAGAAAAATTACATGTGTGTGTAATGTCAAGTTTTAGATTTTGATAGAAAAGTATCTTCAATCCAGTCACATTGGAGAAAAAGCCAAGATATTTGCTTTAAAATTTAAAAAATTTAAAGAACATTAACCACATTTGGGGATTGTCATGTAATTACCTTATCTCTACAGCAGATCTATAACTTACAACTTTCCATGAGCATGAATTTATTCTAATTATATTTGGAGGACAAAGTAATGTTATCTCTTTGACTCTAAATTTTTAAATGGTTGATCAGTTTCTCACATAGACTTACATTTGGAGATAGATTTTGGAAGCTGGTTCCCTCATAGTGTTGGCCCCCTTTGGGTGGATGCCTGAGCATTGTCACCACTGAAATCACAGTTGTTTGTCGTCATGAAGCTTGTCTCAGTATTTTTTGACATTCCTCATCATTTAACCCAAACAAGAGAAACAGAGATAATATCTTTCCTCAGAGACCAAGAAGTCCCTGTGACTGAGTCGACCCTTGTCTCCAGCAGTCTTCTTCAGAGCAGTGCACTTGTGCTAGACAAGTGAGACCTTCACAGGTCTGCGTGCTTTGGGGAGCTCATCTCCACTAACAAAAGATGCAAATGAAAAGCATATGTGAACATTTTATGACTGTGTTTTGATGATCCAAAAGGATTGTGCCGATATTTCATTTCCTCTTCCTTTCATTGTCTCTTTATGGGCTATATCTCATTGATTCCTTAATCTGTGATCCAACTTCTGCCTGATGGTGACCAGTTGTTTATTCCAAGAAATGTGTTAAAACCTCTTATTTTGCCATTGCAAAGTGATGACTTCCAAAAAAAAAAAATCACTGGCCAAATTTTTAAGTGTGTATGTTTCCTATATTGTCTAATTCATAGACCTAGTAATTTCATTGTTGTTGTTGTTTAGTTGCTAAGTCATGTCTGGCTCTTAGTGACCCCATGGACTGTAGCTCACCAGGCTTCTCTGTCCATGGGATTTCTTAGGCAAGTATACTAGAGTAGGTTGCCATATTTTTTTCAAAAATCCATTAACTCTTATATCAAGTAGATTCATGGGTCTGCAAAACTTTTGAAGGGTAAATGTTTTATTTGTACAGATTTTTCTAATACATTTATATTTTATACAGAACTTAATTTTCATTCTGGAAGCAAGTTAGTCAGCTAAGGAATTAAAAATAGTATTATTTGAAAATGAAATGCATTTTCCATCAAGTACAATGATGTACCACAGGAAGCTTGAAGTACCCTTCCCTGAAGAAGAATTGCTGTCTATTAAATTATTTGTTTTATTCTGTAGTCCTTAGGTAGTTTCATCCAGTTTGGGACAGAGAATAGTGGTATTAAAAGGTGACATATTGTGCAACTTTAGGTTCCTTTCTGCTTTATTACAAAAGACAATGAGATGAAAAATGAAGTTCAAAATAGCTTTGAAGAAAAAGTTGACTTTGGAAGTTCCTTGTAAAGGGGGAAAGATTTAAAGGACTAAAAAGTATGTAAAATTAACCATTGATATTTTTGATACTACTTAATTCTCACCTGGATTGGTACTGACCGAAAAATAGATAATGTTAAGATCAAATAGTATCCATAGCAGAGTTGATAGGATGGATTTTCTATCTTAAAAATCCTTCAGTGGTTTGGACGAATGAAGCTGGATTTGCTTTTATTCCTGATGATGGATTAGCTGGAACAAAATAGAGAAGTTTGCAATGCTCTTAGAATATTTAAAAATAAACAAAAGAAAAAAAAAAAGACTAAATCTAAGGCCTTTAAGTCAGTCCACACTGAGTAAGGGCATTTGTAGGTCACTTTACCTTTGGAAGTTATAAAAAGAACGCTCACAAGAAATATCTTCGGCAGTAGACCCATAATTCTAGCCTGAGATTTAAGAGATAATGATATTCACTGAGTTATTCAGTAGAATGCCGCTATACGCTGTGATGGGCATGTTTCCTTAAATTCTGAACAAAATGTGACTGATGGTGATCACTGGGTAGGTTTTTTCCATGGATTATTACAGTGAATACCTAAGACTTTGTTCATCTTACTGATTTAATTAAACTGGATGACCTCAGACATCCTTTCAAACCTCTCTATAAATCCTCCCAGAAACAAAGGCAAATTTGATTGAAAAATAGAATCTCTAGTTTTCATTATGTAACGGTACCTTCCAGAAGCCACTTGAAATTTAGACTTCACTTCGGTACAGAATTACGGTCCTTGGGAAGAACAGATCAAATCTGTAGGCAACAGTTGGTGAGCTCAGCTCAGCCTGTGTAAGCTAGAAATTTCTGACTCTCGTGCCAGGATTGTAAAAATAGAGTAGAAACTTGCAGTGAAGAATTCTATAATCAGTTATATTTATTCTAGCAATTTAGAGGGGTATATGTGTTGTGCATGCACATCTTAGATGATGTAATGTTAACAAGTGATATGTGATGATTTAAGTATGCTAGTATAACTTTTTGGATGTTTCTTGGTATCCAAATCTGGAAGTAGTAAGGCGCACAGTGTTGCAACTCTTTGCAGCTTATATAAGCCCATTTGAACTTCTATACAGAGTCCATATAGTCACATGTCATAGAAGAGCCAACTCCATTTTGAACTCCACATAGAAAAAAAATTCCTTTTATTTACAATGCCAAATCTGTTTCCAAGTTCTTTCAGGTACGGCATAGATTTCACTGGCTCTGTAGAAATAAAGTTGAATAATTGTAAAAGACCCATCTAAAATTTTGTCTCGCAAGTGATTAGCTTTTGGTTTTATATATAACATGTATGTGGAAACATGTTAGTATTTGGAATCATGTAAAGTATTTGGAAACACACTGGATTTTCCCTTTTTTAACAGATATAAATCAAATGAAGATTATGTATATGTCAGAGGACGTGGACGTGGAAAGTACATTTGTGAAGAGTGTGGGATTCGGTGTAAGAAACCCAGCATGCTCAAGAAGCATATCCGCACGCATACTGATGTCCGGCCTTATGTATGCAAGTTATGTAACTTCGCCTTCAAAACAAAAGGTACGGGTCTGATTTTTTTTTTTTTTAAGAAGGAAAACTCTTTTTTTTCTTAATGGCTGTTCCAGATTCTGAGTACCATTTTGTAACTGTCATTGACAATTCGATGGTTTCTTTGTGAAAATGTGACATCCATGAAATGTGTTTTCTTTCTGTAAGTGGTCTGAAGATGTGAGACAGTGAGGCTCCTTTTATGACTGAAGTAAGAGCTATAGACTTAGGTCCAGGCTAGTAGTCTCGAAGGAAGTGTAAGAATTGCCTGCATAACTATTACTTCTTGTTGGAAATGTTATGTGGTCTAGAGAATCTTTGCACCGGTATTGAAATTCTGCAGGGAGACAACCCATTCCGGGGCAGTAGAAAAGCAAGGCAGCAGCTGGGAAGAAAACATGTGCCTATGGTCAGTTTCAAGATTATTAATAATGTAGAGACCCACAGAGTCCCGGGTGGGCCCCTCCATCCACACTTGCATTAATTATGTATAGAAATTTGATCGCTTGTGTTCTGTGTATTTATGAGCTCAGAGACAATTTCTTACTCTCAGGCCACAGCTTTAATCTCATAAAACTAAGACTTGCCTTGAAATGATATTCTGTCTTTTAAAAATAAGTGTGTTTTTAACAGGTAGTCTTACCTGAAAATATTTTATACAAAAATGTTGCTTCAATCTTATTTCTATCAGATTGTAAAATTATGAAAATGTTCATAAACCCAGTGTTTTCAGAATACAAATAGTTGTGGAATAGAGGTGATTTGACTTCTATAGCAGTTTATTTTACTACTTACTGTCAAAGTATGCAGGAGACAGGATATATGGGTTCAATCCCTAGATCAGGAAGATCCCTTGGAGGAGGAAATGGTAGCCCACTTCAGTATTCTTGCCAGGAAAATCCCATGGACAGAGAAGCCTGATGGGCTACAGTCCATGGGGTCGCAGAGTCAGACGTGACTGAGCATACATAGACGCATGTGCACACGTAGAAATACTAATGAAACCCTATAGACACCCCACCACTAACCTTACACAAACATTTTCCGATGTTTTAACTTTAATTTGCATACTAATTAATCTGCTCCACTACCCATCAAGAAAAATAAATATCAAATAAAACTATCTTTGGTAGGGAAATATGTACATACTTTCTTTTATACCCCAAATTCAAAATTGTCTTTATTGGTTTGTCAGAAATGTAAATGTGTTTCCTCTGAGCATATCTGTTTTTTCTTTATTAAAAAGATATTTATATTACAATTATGCCTCTGTGAAGCCACAAAAAGGGGGAGGGAATGTTCATTTGCATTTCAAAGGAGGCAAACATGAGGTCCTTTAAATACCATCCACTTTTGCACAATCAAGCCTTTTATGTGGAACTTCAGTAAGAGACTCCCTAGGACATAAAAAATATATAAACTTTGGTTTTAGGAAATAAAGTGGATCCACCAGTCATTACAACTGGTATTTCCTGGCCGTATGGGTTGACTGCGGGTATAGCCTCCTGAAACTGTACCTGAAGAAATGTCACATGGCTAGATAGTTCTTTTTTATCATGTTAAATTTGGCTCTGAACCATTGTCTTGGAGTTTTAGCAGAAAGTAACTTATGCTTGATCATTATCGGAGTTTCCTTGTCACCCTTTGGAAAAGTACAAATGTCTTAGGATCTTGAAAAGAGCAAATCATCCTGGGAAACCCTCACCAGTGTCCACTTCCAGCCAGCTGCTGTCGTCACACCATCTGAGTACAGGATCAAAGTGCTCTTGTAGGACTGGTACCTCCTCTTTGCCTGTATCACTTCTCCAGGCACCCTTTCCTGCCATCCTGCTGCTTTCTCTTTGCTATGATTCTTCGGACATTCAAGATTTCAGTAAGCCAAAGCCAGGGCAGGGTCACTTCTGAGCCAGATTTCTAACTATAAACCTACCCTGAGGATGAGAGCCCAAAGCCTGAGTGCTTACTTGAAACAGGAAGAAAGAAAAATATAAGAAACACATATGAAGATCTATCTTGACTTAACTAACTTCCACATCTATCCACGTACACAGATTATTTGCACCCTTACAGAAGCAGATGATTTTCATTAATTTACAGGTTTTGAAATTCTTGATAATCATGCACTGTGCTTCATTGTGTCCGACTCTTTGCAACCCCATGGACTGTAGCCCGCCAGGCTCCTTTGTCCATGGGGATTCTCCAGACAAGAATACTGGAGTGGGGTGCCATGCCCTCCTCCGGGGATCTTCCCAACCCAGGTCTTCCGCATTACAGGCGGATTCTTTACCATCTGAGCTACCAGTGAAGCCCAACACTACTGGAGTGGGTAGCCTATCCCTTCTCCAGGGGATCTTCCCAACCCAGAAATCGAACCAGGTTCTCCTCCATTGCAAGTGGATTCTTTACCAGCTGAACTACCAGGGAAGCTCATGATAATTTGTCTATAAGAATTTTTGAGACCTTTAGAAAAATTAGATGTATGATTTTTTGGTACATAAGAGCAATATGGGCCAGGAAATATTTCCATGTTTGGAGTTACAAAAATAGCACATTATATTTGTAGGAATATAAACAATAAGCCAAATGTTAAGGATTCCCTGGTGGCTCAGATGGTTAAGAGTTTGCCTGAAATGTGGGAGACCCGAGTTCAATCCCTGGAGTCAGGAAAATTCCCTGGAGAAGGAAATGGCAACCCACTCCATTATCCTTGCCTGGAAAACCCCATGGACGGAGGAGCCTGGGGGGCTACAGTCCACAGGGTCGCAAAGAGTCGGACACAACTGAGCAACTTCATTTTCTCTAATTAAAAAATGAAGTAATAGAAATAAAATAATAAACAACAGTGCCCCAGTTTAGAGTTGTGGCTCATATATTACAATAATAGTAAGCCAAAAACTCCTGCAAGAGGAACTAACTATTTCAGCAAACTGGAGTTTCCGCCTGGATTCATTCATTGAGCCTACTCTTAAAGCATTTGCTGCTATGTGACCAAAGCATTGTCAAAGAACAAAGATAATCTGGCCCTTATAGCTGAATTAGTTCCTGAATTTCTTTTGATTAGTTATACATATGATGTGGAATGGGCTTCCCGGGTAGCTCAGCTGGTAAAGAATCTGCCTGTAATGCAGGAGACCCCAGTTTGATTCCTGGGTCAGGAAGATCCCCTGGAGAGGGGGTAGGCTACACACTCCAATATTTTGGGACTTCCCTGGTGGCTCAGATTGTAAAGAATTCACCTGCAATGTGGGAGACCTGGGTTCAATCCCTGGGTTGGGAAGATCCCCTGGAGGAGAGCATGGCAACCCACTCCAGGATTTCTGCCTGGAGAATCCCCATGGACAGAAGAGCCTGGTGGGGCTACAGGCCGTAGGGTCACAAAGAGTTGGACACGACTGAGCAACTAAACACAGCACAGCTGTGGAATTCCACATGATATGGAATTATATACATATATATATATATAATTTCATAGATCCTAAGTCAGAGGTGATTGATCAGTGTTTTCATAATTTCTCACATTCTGTTTAGAAATTATATAAATCTGTAGAAGCACATGGTCTTCCCAGGTGACGTAATGGTAAAGAAGCCTCCTGCCAATGCTGGAAGGAGATGCAGGTTTGAGCCCTGGGTCAGGAAGATCCCCCAGAGAAGGAAATGGCAACCCACTCTAGTATTTTTGCCTGGGAAATGCCGTGGACAGAGGAGCTTGGAGGGCTGCAATCCATGGGGTCACAAAGAGTCAAACACAACTTAGTGACTGAGCATGCACATGTAGAAACACACATACATATGTAATTAGGTACATGTATAGTTATACAATCATCCCTCTTTATCCATGAACTCTGAACCTACAGATACAGAGGGCATCATACTATACCATTTATCCTACACATAAGGGACAGTTGTCTATAACTATCTGTGTATGGAAGATGCAAGAGTTTGGGCTTATGCTATGTCGCTTCAGTTGTGTTTGACTCTTTGCGACCCTGTGGACTATAGCCCACCAGGTGCCTCTGTTCATGGGATCTTCCAGGCAAAAATATTGGTGTGGGTTGCCATTTCCTACTCCAGGGGATCTTCCCAACTCAGGGATCAAACCCCAGTCTGTTATGGCTCCTGCATTGGCAGGCATGTTTTTTATCACTAGCAACCTGGGAAGCTTATATCACCATCATAATACATTCTTTGTTCTTAGAACAGTGGGAATTTCAAGATAAATAAGGAATTTTGCTGCTCTGGAACTTTAGAAGTTGCTGTCATAAACTCTGCTGATATATATCAGATGGATAGAAGCTAAATACTAAGATTAATGTTTCCAATAAGTAGTTAGCTAAGTATTTGTTTGGATCTTTGAATTCATTTACAGGATTGGCCCCAACATCGTTCTGTGTTTATTTTTTCTTCTGACAAGTGAGCATCCTGCCAGTTTAATCTATATCTGATTGATGACAGGAGGTCTGGGGTCCAGGGACGATGTTGATTACCATAGTTTATTCTAAAATCGCTCAGAGATGTGTTACCCAGCTTGTGTCACCCTGTTTATGTGGAGCCCAAGAAGGCAGACCCAACGGGGCCAAAGATATTAGGTCCTCTCTCAGCCAGAAAAGTCTGGGATTCTCAGTCATACTTGAGTCTACACTTGAAATAATATGAGCCTAGACTTCCCCAGGTCTAGAACAAAGATGACCTGAGACTGGGCTGAAGCCGTTGGGGGTTCATATCTTCAGAAGCCAAATTGTTCCTCTTAAGTTTGAGGCAAGGAGCAAGGGGTAGAAACAAATTTGTGTTATCTCAAGTTGGTTCATTTCACACTGAATTTTGGAGTGGTCATCACATTTTGGTAACCAATTAATTGCTCTTTTTTTTTTTTTGGCTGTATTTTCTAGGAAACTTAACGAAGCATATGAAATCTAAAGCACACATGAAGAAATGCCTGGAGTTGGGAGTCTCGATGACATCAGTTGATGACACCGAAACCGAGGAAGCAGGTATTCACACTTTGGTTGACTGGCCTCTTTACTGCGCACGCTGGCACTCTGCAGCCAAGGTGGTAGAATAAATATAGGTATTTAAAAAAAAGAAAACTGATCACGTTTCATTTTACTAAATACTAAACATAGAAGAGAAGTCTGACACATTGAATTGCTTGAGACCTAGCAAGAAGAAATCCATTTCAGTTTTGGCTGAAGAGGTAGAAATGCCTTAATGTGAAAACAATTCTATTATTAGAATAGAACCATAAAGGAAATCTAATTGCACTTAAGTTGTAGTGGTGATTTAAATTTTATGATACTTTTTGGGAAATTTGAAAAGCATTTTAATGTCTTATTTTTTTGACCAAGAGGAAATCTAGTAGGAAAAGAAGTCCATCAATAACCTCAGTAGAAAATCTGGGGATCAGGTGGACCTCCTGACTTGTAGAGACAGGTTCTTGCTTTTCTTTTTCCTCTAATATCATCATTAACATTATGTACCCACTTATTGAGGGTTTTCGGTGAGTGGTATGATGCTGAGCTAAAAGTTGCTACTCTAGAGGCCATATTTGTAGGTGGGAATGAAACCAGTTAGCTACATAAAAAGATAAGAACAAATCAGTGTCACAGAGGTAAGTGCTTTATGTTATAGGCATTCAGAGATGACCATGTTTAGGGGCTGGAGGATCGAGGAAAGCTTTTGGAAAGAGATGGTATCTGAATTAGCTTCTAACCTTCTTGTCTGAATCTTGATGTTCACTCTCTTTGTTCAATTGCTTCAGAAACAATGGAAGATTTGCACAAAGCAAGTGAAAAGCATAGCATGTCCAGCATTTCAACTGATCATCAGTTCTCAGATGCCGAAGAATCGGACGGTGAAGATGGAGATGATAATGATGATGATGATGAAGACGATGATGACTTTGATGACCAAGGAGATTTGACACCAAAAACAAGATCAAGAAGCACCAGTCCCCAGCCTCCTAGATTCTCCTCCTTGCCTGTGAATGTTGGCGCTGTGCCCCACGGGGTTCCTTCCGATAGCTCCCTGGGGCATTCTTCATTGATCAGCTATTTGGTTACGTTGCCAAGTATTCAGGTTACTCAGCTGATGACACCAAGTGACTCATGTGAAGATACTCAGATGACAGAATACCAGAGGTTATTCCAGAGCAAAAGTACAGACTCAGAACCAGACAAAGACAGGTTAGACATCCCCAGTTGTATGGATGAAGAGTGCATGCTGTCTTCAGAGCCGGGCTCCTCCCCACGGGACTTCTCACCCTCCAGCCGCCATTCCTCACCAGGATATGATTCTTCACCCTGTCGAGATAATTCACCAAAGAGGTGTCTGATACCCAAAGGGGATTTGTCACCCAGAAGACATTTGTCACCTCGAAGAGATCTGTCACCCATGCGACATCTTTCACCAAGAAAGGAAGCCGCCTTGAGAAGAGAGATGTCGCAGAGAGATGTTTCGCCAAGAAGGCATCTGTCCCCAAGGAGGCCAGTGTCACCTGGGAAAGAAATCATGGCCAGGAGGGACCTCTCTCCCAGAAGAGAGAGAAGATACATGACCACCATAAGGGCACCATCTCCCAGAAGGGCTTTATACCACAACCCACCGTTGTCCATGGGGCAGTATTTGCAAGCAGAGCCAATTGTATTGGGGCCTCCTGTAAGTATCGTTAGTTTTCTCTTTCTAATATATAAGCCCAAGCTCATTGGAGCCTCTTGATGACATACTGGTGTGAAATTTATGATGACATGGGTATCTCTCGTGGGCAGGAGTGAACTTGGTTACTGAAAATAGCAGGAAGGCATTTTTATCACATGCTATTGTCAATCTCATGGCTGTGGCGTTACCCCAAGTGTAGTATTGCATCAGAGAAGAGCATTTCGATCTGGTAATGACAGGTGAGACCTCTCTGAATGCTTTCTAAGTTTAACTCGTTATAGGCAGGAGTTGAAACCTTGGCATGAGTGGAAAAGGTAAAAAGTCTTTGGAATGACATGACTGTCTAGACAGACACTCTTAGGGATATTTAGGAATCATTTATCTAACTCTCTACCAGGTGACAATTCTGATTCATGCATTAGCATTGACTCTCAATCCAAAAAAAAAGTTTTTTAAATAAACTAATTACTTTGCCGATAGTGAGTGGATGTGTGAAACCAGTCAGGGACCAGGAGAGGGGAGAATGAACCCCGTGGTGTAAATGAAAGGCATGAACACGTATGCTTTTCTTGCTGGTCTCACCACCTCCTATTACCGAGAGCCCTTGTTCAATGATATCGTGAGCTCCCAGTGGGCAGTTGGAAGAGGTAAGGGAGAAAGCATCAGAGGAGATTTCTGTGGATGCCCTCATTATAGATTAAGATAACAACAGTAGCAATCACGGATGAAATACGGGCAGTGGGGCTTAATGCACATCCATAGAAGAGGATCGGCCCTGCCTCACTTCACCAACATGATAGATCTTGATATCTTTTTCAACTCGTGTAAAATTAAAAAAAAAGAAGCAGGCACCTAGCATACCTAGCATAGACAGAGGAAGGATACCTCTGGAGTTTGGCTGCTTTCCATGTGTTTGTTTGTTTCCTGGGCTCTATTGGTGGCCATTCTCTCTTTGCTCTGGATTTCCATCATGTGGGTCGTCACTGCCCTTCACAGCCAAGGAAGCACTACCAGCTGTCAGCTCTGCCGTCTTCCCACGGCCCTAGTGGTCAGCTTCCCCTCTCTCATCATCTTTTCACCATCCTGAATTAGATGCTTAGAGGAAAACTCTCTGCTGCATTCTGCTTTCCAGCCCCTAGGACCCTCTGTTTACAAGCCTGCCACCAGCATGGTCTTCAGGGTGCAATGACTGTAGAAACAAACATGTGTAGCAATCAGGACATAACTTAGCTGCTGAGCTAATAAATTAGCCAGCTAAGAAAAAGAAGGGCATTTCCACAGGTTTTGTCCAAGTAGCAAGGAGGGCTCTTCTTAAGTTCCTGCTATTGCAAGATAAATAGAGTGAGAAATCCCTTTCATACCAGAATACCACATCTGGGGTGGAAAATGCTTTTTCTGGTATGTGTTGTTCAGTCACTAAGTTGTGTCTGACCCTTTGTGATCCCATGGATTGCAGCACCCCAGGCTTCCCTGTCCTTCACGATCTCCAGTGTTTGCTCAGACTCATGTCTATTGAGTCGATGATGCCATCTCATCTTCTGTCATCCCCTTCTCCTCCTGCCCTCAGCCGTTCCCAGCATCAGGGTCTTTTCCAATGAGTCAGTTCTTCGCATCAGGTGGCCAAAGGATTGGAGCTTCGGCTTCAGCATCAGTTCTTCCAGTGAATATTCAGGGTTGATTTCATTGACTGCTTTATCTCCTTGCAGTCCAAGGGACTCTCAAGAGTCTTCTCAGGCACGACAGTTCAAAAGCATCAGTTCTTTTGGCGCTCAGCCTTCTTTATAGTTCACATCTCACATCTGTACATGACTATTTGAGAAACCATAGATTTGACTAAATGAACCTTTGTTGGCAAAGTGATGTCTCTGCTTTTTAATAATCTGTCTAGGTTTATCATAGCTTTTCTTCCAAGGAGCAAGCGTCTTTTAATTTCATGACTGCAGTCACCGTCTGCAGTGATTTTGGAGCCCAAGAAAATAAAGTCTGTCACTGTTTCCATTTTTTCCCCATCTATTTGCCATGAGGTGATGGGACTGAATGCCATGACCTTACTTTTATGAATGTTGAGTATTAAGCCAGCTTTTTCACTCTCCTCTTTCACCTTCATCAAGAGGCTCTTTAGTTCCTCTTCACTTTTTGTCATTAAGGTGGTGTCATGTGCATATCTGAGGCTGGTGTTATTTCTCCCTGCAGTCTTGATTCCAGCCTGTGATTCATCTAGCCTGGCATTTTGCATGATTTACTCTATATATTAAATAAGCAGGGTGATAATTGTAGCCTTGACATACTCCTTTCCCAGTTTAAACAAGTCCATTGTTCCATGTCCGGTTCTAACTGTTGCTTCTTAACCTGCATACAGATTTCTCAGAAGGCAGGTAAAGTGGTCTGGTACTCCCATCTCTTGAAGAATTTTCCACAGTTTGTTGTCATCCACACAGTCAAGGCTTTAGCATAGTCAATGAGCAGAAGTAGATGTTTTTCTGGAATTCCCTTGTTTTTTCTATGATCCAACGGATGTTGGCAATTTGATCTCTGGTTAGACCCAATGGTGCTGTGGAGTGTGTCAGCTGAGGCTCCCCCATTCTAATTTGCCTAGTGGGTCAAGACTGTGATATATGGGAGATGTTGGAGTATACCAAGTCATCTGTAGGCATAAAAAATAATGCTTTGGTGCCAACACAGTACTGTTATTAAAAAATAATATCAACTCACAGTCACTTTGGGCAAAGGAAGCAAAGAAGTGGACTTAAAGACTTCATCTAATTTTTGGATCTCTGCCCAGAAAGTTGTTGGTGAAAAGGGATTGATTTTATTAGTGATTTAATTTGTATTTTTTTTCATACCAGTTCACCTGGATATTTAATGAAATTGTTGAACTTTACCATTTATGAAGCCCAAGTGTTGAGCTTTTGCTCTATTACCCAGTTTAATTCTCTGTAGACAGTTCTTAACATGCTACTTTGCTGATGTGATAGGAAAGAATAGCCCTTTGAATTCTTCCTAAAGCAGGGATGCTTGGTCTCAGACGCTTCCCATTTGATGCTTTAGCACTCTGTTTTTGAGGTGCAGCAGAGAATTTTCGTCTTTCCATGATGTATGGACAAGATTCTCATTGTGAAAAAGAATCAATGATCCTTTAAGGAGAACTTCTGCTGATTGCTGTAGGAGATGAGTGCTTCCCTGTCTGAAGAATCTATATTGTTGTTCTTCAATCACTAAGTTGTGTCCAGCTCTCTGCGACCCCATGGATTGCAGCAAGCCAGGTTTCCCTGTCCTTCACCATCTCCCAGAGTTTGCTCAAACTCGCATGTTCATTGAGCAGATGATGCTATCCGGCCATCTCACGTATGAACATATTAAATTGGAATAACCCTAAAGATTAATTATTTAATACCTGTGGTTTAACATTGACCAAGCGCTCACAGGGTAGTGACTAGCATGGAAAGGACCTCTTAGCCAAGCATGGTACACTCATTATCTGGTTCAGCCTGTAGTGGTAGGTTCCAGGGAGCAAGTTTGGAGGAGACGATATGCAGTCACTGAGATTCTAGAACCCTGCTATTTCTGCTCTAATGTCCTCTGCTTAGTTTTAATTTTAAGATAGATGATAGGTAGGTAGGTAGGTAGGTAGGTAATTGGATGGATAGATAAAGAGAAAAGGAAAGAAGGAAGGAAATAGAGGGAAGAAGGAAGGAAGAGGAAGAGAGAAAAGAGTCTTTTATTCGCTCATTCAGTAAATTTTTTTTGAGGGTTTAATCATATGTGGCTCAGTGATGATGACGGAAAAATTGTATGGTTTCTGGCCTCATCCTTTTAAAACAAGAATTGTTCCTTTTCCGTTTTTAAGGTTTTGGTAGATAAATAGCAAGGAGACAAAGAAAGTGTGTCCTGGTCCGCAGTGCAGAGCGTCCGTGAACACTGTCTAGTACAAGGGTCGTGATTCGGTTCCATCCCTTGCCCTCTGTGTGGTCTTGAGCAAGTCAGTTAACCTCTTGGTTAGTTTTTCCATCTGTTTGTGGCAGCCAGGGAGGTGGGCCAAGTAGACTTCTGTCCTTGAAAGAACTTACCATTCAGCTGTAAGGAATGCAGTGAGCTAACAGCCTCCTGATGTTGGAACCTTCAGGATAGACCTCCGTCTTCAAGCCAAGGCCACGTTCTCCCCTGCGCCCTCTATCGTGGCTGAGCCTGGATCAGTTCCAGCTGACCCCCTGTTTCCTCTCCCTGTTTCCGTCACATACCTTACATCCCGCTCCCCGTCACCAACCCCAGCCAGAACTCCTGTATCTCTACCTCCTTCTCATCCTTTGCTTCCAGAGGACCTACTGACACTGTTGAAAAGATGAGTTGGGGTAAATATCTGGTACATAGCGTACAGATAGATATACACATATATATGCATACACTTAACACAACCCACACAGGCATTCATTATTCATATTTCTGTGTCAAGATTTTTAAGTAAGGTGGGAGTTTATTCATATTAAAATGGTAAGGCTCAAAATGTAAAACAAGATAAGGTTGCAAATGAAGTAAAAATTAGAGTAGAAAAATCTCTTGGAGAGTTATTTGGAGGGTGAAGAAGGGGTGAGTCTGAGGACAAAGAATATGTGAAAGGCTTGGCAGTATTTGGAGCCATGGAAGTGGTTACGTGATAGGAATTGTACACTCGCTTCTGTGGTTGTAATCATTTAATGTCTGGTCAGTAAAAGTCTGAATATAACACTTGTATTCTTAACACAAAATTCTGTTGGCTTTTGAACAGATTGAATACATCCTATTTTTAGAGGACACTTCATCACTCGCTTTGTTGGCCTTGAGTCAGAGATCTTATGAAATAGGACAGCTCTGTCTTTGGCTGCCTCACAAACCCCCATTCTGATTAGGTATATACCGTGGACATCACAGAATAGCAACCAAAGGCAAGATGGAAAAAGAGCCAAGCTATGTTTTAGTTCAGACTTTACATCTGTGATCATTGTGATCCAAAGAAGATTCAGTTGGTTACATTCACAGGTGGTTATTGTAGGCATTATGATCTTCCACCTTACCTAGTGTTTGATGAAGTAAACATGCCTTTTTAAAACCAGAGCAAATAAATACAAGCGGGAATTTTTGGTCTCATTCAGTGATTTTTCTCATACCATAGAATTCTTCCCTTACGTAGCTTATGAGGTCCTTAGCTTATGAGGATTGATGTTTTCATGATTTCTCCTGCACTTTCAGCACAAGTCATTTGTTTTTGGCTTGAATAAGGTGAAGCCTAGAACAGGGTAAGGGCCAAGAATGGTACAGAGTAGCAGAAACGGTGGATAATTTATCGTTCCTAACCTGGTCTCACAATCTAATTAGAACTGGATGAATCACTAATGGTATAGAGCACAACTTGCATTTTAGATCTGAAACATTCTTGAAACGATGGCAAGTGGTAAAGAATCTGCCTGCAATGCAGGAGACACAGGTTCAATCCCTGGGTTGGGAAGATCCTCTGGAGAAGGAAATGGCAACCCACGCTAGTATTCTTGCCTGGAGAATCCCATGGACAAAGGAGCCTAGTGGGCTACACAGTCCATGGGGTCGCAAAGAGTCAGACATGACTGAGTGACTGACCATGCATGCATTAAAAGGATGAATCTCGGTTAATTGAAGCTTTGTCATCTCATTTAAACCCGATAATCTCACAGCTAGGTTAGGTTTTGCTATAGAAAGAATTATACAAAATGGGTTCTCCGTTTTCAGGACTGGGACCATGAAATCTGGAATTCTGGCCCCAAACTTTAAACGTCCTAATTTATTAATTGCCAGGAAGCTATTTAAGTGGAAATAACAACATAGATAGAAAAATTAAAATATAGTCATTTCTGGTTCCCAGCGACAAAGTTGAATACGAATTATAACTATTTTAAATACTTAGCATTAACTACTTTGATGCATAGTTTCCATACAAAATCTGGCCTTGAATTACGGTCTGATGGAGATGCTGGTGCTGATCTTCTGCCTCGATGCCTCCTGAGCAGAAATCTATTTCTTTAAAGCAATGTCTTACACATTGGAGGGACCAGTTTGTGTATCACCACCATTTTGTCATCTGTTCTGTAGAAGACTAAAAAAGAAAAAAAAAAGAGAGCTAATTTTCAAGCTTGTCACTCCATTTATATTCATCAACACTTAAGAAAAATATTAAAAATCTGCCCAGTATATAAACAGATGGTAATCGTTTAACTTTCTTTTGGATTTAAAAACTTGTTATTAGTGTTTTTTGGCTCAGTATAGTTTTTCTGGTAATTATCCATTATTTTCTTTTCATTCTGTCTTACAAAAAAAAAAGAGCTGGACAGTCTCTGTACCTAGTGGAAAACACACTGCAGGTTTTATCACATTCCTGTGTAACAACAAAAGCAACTTTTCACAGACCTACCTGCTTCATTCAAGAATCCTAAAAGACGGCGGAGCAAACCTCTTTTGTCTTGAGGAATGAAAGAGTGATAGAGAGATTAGGGAGTCTTCACGTGTTTTGAAGGAATGAGTTAGTGAATGAATGAATGAATGAATGAATCAACTTGACCTAAACATGAAGCACGGTGGGTCCTAAGTGTTGTCTCTCTGTGTCCCCGATGCAGAATTTAAGAAGAGGATTACCTCAGGTTCCTTACTTCAGTCTCTATGGAGACCAAGAAGGTGCTTATGAACATCCAGGCCCCAGCCTTTTCCCTGAGGGTCCCACTGACTATGTCTTCAGCCACCTTCCACTCCACTCTCAGCAGCAAGTGCGAGCTCCTATCCCCATGGTGCCAGTCGGTGGGATCCAAATGGTTCACTCCATCCCGCCGGCCCTTGCCGGTGTCCACCCCCCACCCACATTGCCTCTGCCAATGGAGGGCTCCGAGGAGAAGAGGGGCGCCTCGGGGGACTCCTTCGCCAAGGATCCCCATGCAGGTTCAAAGCCGCCCGGGAAGCGGTCGCCTCACGCTCCCCAGTCATCTGGTCCACCTAGCACGGCCTCCTCTCCACGGCTGCTGATGAAACAGAGCACTTCAGAGGACAGCCTGAATGCCACCGAGCGGGAACAGGAGGAAAACATCCAGACTTGCACAAAAGCCATCGCCTCCCTCCGGATTGCCACAGAAGAGGCTGCTCTGCTGGGGGCAGATCAGTCAGCTCGGGGGCAAGCGCCTCATCAGAAACCCTTGGAAAGTGCACAGGCTAGCATTAGACACTTTAGTGGGCCTGAGCCAGGCCAGCCCTGTACCTCAGCCACCCACCCTGACTTGCATGATGGCGAAAAGGACAATTTTGGTACATCCCAGACTGCATTCGCTCACTCCACGTTTTACAGCAAGAGTTGTCTGGATGACCAACAGTCGGGCTATCAAGACAGCAAGGAATTACCTTCAAGCACAGAGGAAGGCAAGGAATCGGCTTCAGAGAAGAGTCAACTACATTGATCTAAGATGCATGGAGACTTTCATTTCCACATTTTCCCATTTGTTTTCGTTTTCGTTTTTCTAGAAATAGAGGTAATCAAGTTTATAGCATGCCTGTCCTAAGTTACTGGTAGTTTGCTATTATATATACTTTTGTTATATCAGAAGAATTAGGTAAATTAACAAGTCATCATGAGCCTGACCAAAACAAAATTTGAAATTAACCTATTGGGTCTGGTACTTTTAAAATTGTACAGATGTTTGTGCCTTTTCTTTACTTTGCTTATATTCTTATAAGCATTTTTTAGCAGTAATTTGTACATATTTTAGAATTTGTGTATCTGCTTTGTAATAAATGTAATTTCTTTCCTTTTTTGGACACTTGGATCTAAATGATGTAAAGCAAAACAGCATCAATATATATGTGAGGTTGCACTAAAACATATTTTTATATGATTAAAACTGAACAGCTTTTATGTACAGCTCTGATTCTGTAATACTAATATTTATTTACTTTGTTTCATAAATTGTACATTTTTTCTTAATGTTGTGGATTGCTTTTCTATGTGAAGCATGGGGTTTACTGTTGCGTAACTAGAACAAAAAAATGTATATTGTAAACAAGATATTTAAACTAGAGTATCTTATTCTGCACTTATGCATTAGTTAAAAAAAAAAGATAAAGGATGTATCAGTCAGTTCTTAACTCTTGTAAATTTTTTTGTCTCTTGTTTGCTGGATTGACTATAACTTAAGTGCTGATTGTGATTTTAAACTGATAGTACCGTAAAGCATTAAAGTAAACAATGTGCTATTGTGAGTTTTTTCAAAGCTTTATAAATCAGTTATAAATAATATTAAAAGTATTTGGTCTTATGTGAACATGTTGATCTATATACTCAACTAAAAATATGGGAAAACATTCCGCCCCATGTAAATATGTACAAGTGCATCACTGGTACAATTTTATGTAACTCAGTTGGACACTAGGTTGCCACAGGCCTATGCTAGGGTGTCTTTAAAAATTAAAGTGACAAAGCACATTGGACTGTGTTGAGCTTGGTTATCGGCCGGCCCGGTGGCTTGGCAGGCGGTGCTGTGCGCTGCCCGTGGAGAAGACCTGGGCTTAGCAATCTCCTTGGTTCTTGCTGCACGAGATGGTGACTGAGGCTACTCCAGAGGGGTCGCGCTTGGACTGAGGTGGGTGTGGAAGCGGGGAAGGGCAGGGAGACCTGCTCCCCAGCCTTTTCTGTCAGCCAGTCTGCACGGTAACAGGGTTGACATCAGCTCTGGGGGAAGCCACTTGACCCTACTGCAGAAGGGGAGAGTGTCAGACCCCTGGCTATCTCAGGGGGAACGGAAAAGAGGCTTACCAGGGAAAAGAACTTGTGGGAGGATGCTGTCTTTTGTATATAACATTCAGAATGGGCTTTGGTTAGCGTTGACAATGGGCAGAGCCTTTGTTTGTAGGTTCGGATGAGTGGAAGGATGGGAAGGGGTACAACACATGGGCACACACACACACGTGTGTGCATGCACAGACACACACACACACACACACACAATCTGGGTTATCTTTGTGCTATATAGTGGATTATAATTCTGTGAAACCAAGTTTGTATATTGAATTACATTAAGGAGTGTTCTTTAAAAAGAGAAATAAATATACGATTACATGCTTGAGGTGTCTAGTTTTTATGTCTTGTTTGACATTTTGATTTCCCAATTTTGTTGCTGGAGAAATGTTGATGCTACCAACTTGCCATCTGTGCTTTTCACTCCTAGGCTCTGCCCGTCCCAGGCTGCGCAGAGTATGAATGCCTTGAACAAGTGAGAAGGCAGTCATTGGCTTCAGCATGTCACCTGATTAGAGCAGAGAGTGGTCAGCACAGTGCGCGTTCTGGAAATGGAGTCCTTAGAACCTGGACATGGGAATGGGTGTCTGAAAGGAGTCGTGAAGAAATCAAAACATCATTTCCCCTCTGCTTCCCTCTCAGCATGCATGCATGTCTGAAATTCCACTACCCGGGAAACCTGATTTTTGCTGAAATGACTGAAGGTAAAATCCAACTGAAACCAATACACCATAAAATATCCACAAATCTCAGTTCCTTTATTACAAAAAGAGTAGAATCTTTTAAATAATGGAAGTAGCTCATTAAAGGTCAAAATCTATCGGTATTTCCGTTCCAGAAATCTCAAATCGGCGGATTTACAACTTATCTATGATGTTTTATGAACCAGGCTGTCTCTTTAAAACTGTGTTTTACAAAGGTGATTTAACGGCCACCACGACCAGGCTAGTATCCATCTCTCACAGAGAAGAATCCTTGAAACATTTAATTGCATAGGGTGATCTGTGTGTTTTACTCCTCACTGTGTGTGTGTGTGTGTGTGTGTGTGTGATCCCAGGTCAAATCAAATGCTCTGCTTCTTCCTCTGATTCATGTATTCACTTGCTCATAAAACAGTTTTTGAATGCCTACCATGAACTGGGTGCTATAATGCACATTTAGGGTGGATAAGAGTATTCCTGCCATCAAGGAGACCAAATAAAGAAAAGAGAAGATATGTGAGTAAAGGTGTGCAGTATGCTATTAGTGCTAAAATAATGGTACATTTGAAGTATTTTGCAATTGCAAAGGATCAAATACCCTGCTGAGAATGGAAGGCAGGATGGAGCAGGCTTCTTTGCAGAGTTGGTCCTGGAGCATTACCAACCAGGGTTCTTGGCCTTCTTAATCGATAGAAATTGCTGAGTTCAGACAAGAAATCCTGGCAAGACTTCACTGGGGGCACCTGCTGCAGCACGGAAGTGAGACGAACCAACAAGTGCCTTTGCTTGCCCATTTGCTGAGGGGGAGCAAGCGGGTTCCTTGTACGAGGTGAGGGTAGGTGTGGGTCCAGGGGTCAGGTTGGAGTGGTGGCTCAGTTGGTTTGCCCACCCCTTCCGTGGTCATGTGCAGAGGGTATGCCCAGTACTCTGCTTTGGCTCCCAACTCCCTGCTTTTGTCCCAGCTCTTCAGAAGTGGCCATTGGGCTTCTTGGTCTTTTTGCACCTTGTTCTCCATAATTTGCCCCAGCTGTCCACGCAGATATTTTTAGTCCTTTATAACATCTTTGTATTTCGTTGCTCGAGGCATTTGTTCAACGGCAAGCACTGGAGTGAACCGTCCCAGGTCTCAGGTCTCATCCTATCTCAGAACAATTTATTGACTTTTCAATAGATAAACTTCATCATGGACACTGGGACACTGTTCTGTGTGCTAGGTCCACGGTACTACGCAAAACACAGCAGGTCCTTGCCTTCATGGAGTTTACATTCCAGTAGAGGTGGGGCATAAAAATAAATTGGAAAGCGGCATGTTAGATAATCGTGATCATGTTGTGTAAGACTGAATGGAGAAAAAGCTAGATGTAGCTGGCTGTCTGGGTCTATGACAGGGTGGACATAGTTAAGCTGGAAAAAAAGGTCAAAACCCAAGATCCTAATCCAGCCCAAGGAGCTCAGATCTAGCCCTGTAAGCAATGAGGAGTGGAGCCAAGGGAAGACTGAAACAAGACAGTGGAATTGCCATTGTTAGTGTCTTTGTTATTATTTAGAAAAATATCCGTGTGGCAGCAAGGAAAATAATCGAGTTGAGAGGGAGTGGAGGCAGGGACACCAACTGGGACAATTATGAAGTCATGTTGTTTCCATGGAAATAGGACAGCAACAATCCAAACAGACAATGGAAGTAGAAGGGACAGTTTTGCTTAATGAAGAGGAATTGATCATAACTAATGACTGATTTGATGTCAGGGGGAGAGAGAGATGGAGGACCTAAAGATGACCAGAATTCTAACCAGGGCAGTGGAAAGTGGTGGTCTTGTTAACCAAGAAGAAGCCTGGATTTATAAGATATCTGAAGATGCAGGTAAGGAATTGAGCTTCCCACTACAGTTCATAAGGAGTGTGGTCTCAAGAAAGGCCCACACTGGAGGCTGATTTGTCCCTTCTTGTCACTTAATGATAGCTAAGCCCTGAACTGGATGAAATCCCTCAAGGTGTATGTGTTTGGAGAGCTAGAAAGAGGAAGTTTGAGGACTCTCATAGGAGAGAAGTTAATTTGTGATATGAAATGTCTTCGGGCATCAGGGCTTACTCTTCTTGTGGAACCCTATTTGTAAAGAGATGTGATCAGTTGCTCAGTCATGTCCAACTCTGTGACCCATGAACTGTACCTCACCAGGCTCCTCTGTCCATGGGATTTTCCAGGCAGGAACACTGGAGTGTGTTCCCGTTTCCTTCTCCAAGGTGTAAAGGGATGGACTGTAGTGTATTTCCCAATTCAACTCAAGCCCAGTCGCATTGTCAGACCTGGTTACCAGAGAGTGTATACTGAGTCTCATAGCATAGCATAACATCTTCTCAAATTGTACTTGAGATGTGGCTGCTCCAAAGGGATAAGTGCTGTGAATATAAAGTACATGCCAGACTTTGAAGACATGGCAGAAGGAGGAGGCCAAATGTCTTTTACAGTTTTTCGTATGAGTAGCATGTTGACATGATTAGCATTTGGATATAGTAAGTTAAGTAAATTGCTATTAAAATTGATGGCCCACGTTTCCTTTTCTAAATGTTGGTCCAGAAAATTGATGGTGAAGAGAGGAGAGATCTGAGGAGATAAAGAGAGGAGACTGAGCTTAGCTTGGAGGCTATTTCCATAGGAGATGATGGTAGCTTGACATACTGTGGTAGTAGGCAGGAGAGAGAAAAGCAGATAGATTTGAAATATGCAGAGGGACTAGAATTTACGGAAAGGGGGGTTTATTGGATATAGGCCTCTCAGAAAAGAGAAGAGTCACATATAATGCTCCATGGCTAGCTGGCTACTACTAGGTTAAACATGAAGCCTTTTCACTACAAGGTTAAATCCAGATAGGAGCAAGTTTGGGGGAGTAATGGGCAGTTACTGAGTTTGGGGTCCATGTGGGGCATCCATAAGGAAAGATTCAAGGAGTGACTGGATATGTGGGCC